ATTATTATTAAGTAAATGTACGTTCACAAATATAATAAATTCGTACGAGTTGAAGTTTCAGATTTTGCAGATCTAAGGAAATAAGCTTGTAACCTTTAAGCTATTTTCCTGGAAGGTTGTTTCTTGGCTGACCGAATCTTGTAACAACAGAGGCATTTGATTGGTCGATACTAGAATGGCATTATATATACTATATCTAAAACTTTTTTATTTTTTATAAAAATATACTTTATAACGTCTCTCCATTAATTAGGACTGCAGACTATTAATACATTCACGATTTATATTAAAAATAACAACTATCTGAAAATAATAAAATGTAAAACTCATTGAAATATTTTCTATTTAATATCGCTTACCTTATAGCAATATTTATTTTTTAAAATTAATACTGTTTGAGTTGTAATAAGAGGTCGAAAGCTTGGACCCCCTCTTTTTCATTTTTTATGAATCTTTTTTTATATCTGGACTTCTTTTTTTACTTACCATTATAAAACTTCCAAGATTTATTGCAAGAAAGGATTTTTAAAAATTATTTATTTTTACTTTATTTAATAACATTGTGAGATGCAAAATAGCAAAATTTTTAACTAATTTCAAATAAGAGAAGTAGTAGGATTGGTAAAATATTTTCCAAATTATAAAATTTAAAAAAAAAAAAGAAAAATTCGTATTTTTTTTTAAAAATCTATTCTATTCGTCCTATTTCGTTCAAATTTTGCTACTTAAAATTACTTAGTTTAAAATTGAAAGCAAAAGTTTTAAACTTCTTTAAGAAGTTTTCAATTTTCAAGATAGGAAATAGTAATTAACTTTGTTTGCTCTCTTGACCTATCAACTGGTAGCTCATTTTCCTGTTTACGTTACCCCCATATTTTGAAGAGCGAAACTAAAAAAATATGTTCATTCCAAAAATGTAATAGAGATCTCCATCCTCTACTTACTGAGAATTAATCTAGCTTAGTATTAAGGTTTTACACGAAGTTTTAAAAATATGTAACATTCATTTTAAGTCATCTTCGATTTATATACAGTTTGTTCAATGTAAATATGTTGAAAGGTAACTAAAATTCAAGTACTTTCACACTGGTGACGTCATTTCTCAGGCTTATTGCAATTAGCTCTGTAAGCATATTGCAAAGCGAAATCTGCAGCTTACGAAAAGCCAGATTTTTCAAGCTAACCAGGGGAGGTTTTTGTATTTTTCCTTTCCTTGTAACGCGAATGCTGGTTAGTTCCATCAAGAAGTCCTCCAAGAAAGCAAAATTTCTGTCAATACTTACACAGGAGTTCCCTTGTCTTCTGGATTGGGTTAAAAATTACAAGGGCACGGAGTTGAACAATGGTAACTGTTAACTCTAAAAAGTTGTATCAACTGCTCAATAAAATTTGTAAGCTTTCAATCAGTTTGTTTTAAAATAGAAAAATTAATTGAAAACAAAATTGTTGTTTTAATTTCAATTGTTATTTTATTTTTTTAAAAAAAAAGCAGTAAGCATTAAAAAAATTTCAACAGTTGAAATTTTATTCTCCAAAATATTAGTCTTTTTTAATCAATTTCTTATTCAGTATATATATATATATATTTTTTAATGATC